TGGCGAAATTATAACCAAAAGAGAAAGAATTTGAAAAACTTCTCCTAGTTGGTAGTTGATTTTCCGCTCTTATGTAAATGATAAATTATTTACACGTGCATTAGTTGATTCCGAAATATATCAGTGTGGAGAGCATGCAACAATACTTTAACTTTCTACTGGACTGGTTTAACCATCATGCAACACCTGCTCAGCTTTACTTAACTCTCAACACTGGACACAAGCTAAACTTGATACTCTACTGATGCTGGACATTTGGCGTTAAAAACTTCTATCAAGCAAACTGGAAGATTTCTCTAAGAGAAAATAAAACTCGTTCTTCATCTAATTCTCTAGAACCTTATATATAAAAGAGTTCTATGCGCGGTTATGCATAAAGCTTTTCTATCCATAGAGAAACCATCCTATGCATAGCACAGGACTTTCCGTTACCAAAATGCGCCCCACACTATACATAATGCAATCTAAACCGTAACGGCTAATTATGCATAATTCAACTGTTCCATTTTGCGGAACTGTGCGCACAGGGCTGATAGTATAAAAACCTATAAACTGCCCTCATTCGAACAAATAAGGCATAATAGGCAGAGGTTGACTGATTTGAAATAGTGCTAGTATCTGCTAGAGTATTCATATATTAGGGTTACTAATGAAGAAGATGCAGAGATGTAAAACAGAGTTATGATAAACGTTCTTTTACCGGCTAACGCATCCAAGAGCGCTGCCGCGTGAATTGTCCAATTCTTTCTAGAATCATCGAATTCTGCAGATGGGAGTGCGACAGAACCGTCATGTAAGTCGAATGGAAGTGGTGAACATCGAACCTTAATGTCTTTTGTTTTGTTAAAGCGCGCCAACAAATCAGCAATACCAATGGATTAAGCGGGACCATTTTAACATCTACAGTAATAGGTATGTATATGCCACAAAACAGATGTTTCTACGCCATGTGCGCATTTGTCTAAGAACGCAAAAAATGAGAAACTTGATTTTATTCTCACTCGTTGAATATATATGTACTGAATGGGCCCTATGTGCGTAGTTTTACACAAATTTAAAGAATTGAAACACAACCATGCATAGTTAAATTTTATGCATAGTTCACAGAACCTTATATATAAAAGAGTTCTATGCGCGGTTATGCATAAAGCTTTTCTATCCATAGAGAAACCATCCTATGCATAGCCCAGGACTTTCTGTTACCAAAATGCGCCCCATACTATACATAATGCAATCTAACCCGTAACGATTATGATAAACGTTGTGTTACCAGCTAACGCGTCCAGGAGAGCTGCCGCGTGAACTGTCCAATTCTTTCTAGGATCATCGAATTCTGCAGCTGGGAGTGCGACAGAAGCGTCATGTAAGCCGAATGGAAGTGGTGAACATCCAGCCTTAACGTCTTTTGTTTTGTTAAAGCGCGCCAAAAAACCAGCAATACCAATGGATTAAGCGGGACCATTTTAACATCTACAGTAACAGGTATGTGAGTGAATCGTATATTAATTGTACAATTGGTTGTTTAGTACCTGTTTCTGTCATAAATACGTAGTGGTTTGTCGGATTACTAAAATTTTTTTTCTTATTTTACTCATCGCATCACCTCCCACCACCGATAAAATTTTGAGCATTCTGTTTTCAGGTGAGTGAGATACACGCATGAAAAAGCAGAAAAACGCGTGTTTATCTTGACTAGCATGAATAAAAACGCAAATTTCACATCAAAGACAGATGATAAGGAGAAAGCAGACCAGTGGGTCGTGTAGAGCGGAAAATTCTCTTTCCATCTATGTTATTTACGATTTCGCTTCAGCACTTTGGCACAGACTTTTTTAGAGAATTAAGCTTTCCGTACAAATTGTAGGGAGACACCAAAATCGGTGTAACGGATTTAGGCAGCACTTAAGCGTAAAGTTCATTCCACCATGAGATAGAGCATCAAAAACACTCCGGAAAACACACAAAAGTATTTTACCAAACGCCTCATACGTGGTCCAAAAATGACTAAGTTCAGGTTTTCCACTGAGTTTGTAAGGAGAGATTTTGGGACTTGCGTTGTTCATAAGTCAATGAGATTGTATCTAAATTATTTCAAACTTTCACAACCAGAAGCAGGTGGAAAGTTGTACGAGTGGTGAAAATCTCAGCACTTAAAGTTGATGTCTTGCTAGTAAACTTCGCGTCATGCCGCAAAATGTAGGGAGACCTTTTCTGTAGGGAGAGATTCATTCCGAACTTTTTTCCTATTCATAGCTGTGCACAACTGAGAAAAGTAAACTTTAATGGGTTTTCGAACACGCTCTTTCTAGTAGAGCAAACAGAACTACATAAAACAAAAGCTTTGGAAGTATTTACCAATAAGCCGAAAAAATCGCAAAGATTTCTGAAAGCCTTTTTTGACAAGAATAATTCCAACGGGTACACCACCTGCAGGTAATTTTTCCCGCTCAATTGCTCCTACGCTAATAGATAATGCTGCCTAGAGGTGTCCTGCGTAAACCGTAGGTCTCTATCTTGTTTCAAATAGAAGTTATTTTGAAAATATCACGGGTCACCGTTAATATAATAAATTACGAAATTATACCTTCATTATCTCGTCCTGTAAACCTTTGGTAGTTTGGCAATTTTTACCTCGTACTCAGAATTATGGAGAATAGTCTCGCTGACGCAGGTTTTTGATAAATCTACTTACATTTTTTCCCACAACTTGCACAACTAAAATACGATCCACTCATGTATGTGCCACAAAATAGATGTTTCTACGCCATGTGTGTATTTGTCCAAACGTGTCCTCCGAAAATTATATATTTCGACAAGTTTTTCACCATGCTGGATTCGATTCTCCAGCATCGAGAACACAAAGATATACGAACTTAGTTCGAACGCAAGAAATGAGAAACTTGATTTTATTCTCACTCGTTGAATGTATATTTACTGAATGTACAGAAAACTGGAGTAACAGTTAGCATCATTTTGCATGAGTTAGAAAAAACATTATACCGATGGCAGCTGAGTGGACAAAATTAAAACTAGAGTTCGGCAGGAAACAGGGAAAAGTACAATTCGCTTTATCATGCATTAATAATGGCTTTGTATATATGTGCATTTAGTTCAACGATGATCTTTCTCAAGAGCAGCAACCTCGCTTTCAACGACAGGTTTGCGCAAGATACCAAACGAGTTATTCTGTTCGGTATAGCAGTACGAGGAAAAGCATTTGGGAAGCGTTGCAACAGAAAGAGTTTAAGGGTTTCTTTCTTTCCACATTCTCAGTATGTATCAAACATCAGATTTTTCGTGAAAACGTCCTCATTTAAAGTTATAGAAAGCGCCACAGACTAAAAACCGTATCAAACTTCCAAATCACCCAATATATACGACAAGAACTGCTTTTGAGATACGACTAGTCTATGCTTTGCTTAAGCGTTTGGTTGGTGGCCGATTACAACGTCCGAAACCATTCTACACACCACATAGAAATAAATTGAGTAAGAACGCGACCTCAGACTTCTTTGTTCCACATATTTTCGTTTCCGTTAGCTGTGATCGCACGTGACACATGACTTTTGACATACTGATATCGAATCAGATCTGATGGTCGAAAGACTGCACAAACTTATCAGTTAAATATTCAGATACTATTCAAATAACCATTTTATAATCTAAAATCAATCTCGCACTTTGACAATAACGTAGATCTACTAATGTATCCAATAATGTATCTTCATTGAAGAGCTTCTGAAACTGTTTTCCTAATGGTAAGACAAATGGAAGTGTTATAGATCCAACCTTAATGCCTTTTGTTGTTCACCATGCTGGATTCGATTCTTCAACATCGAGAACACAAACAAATGGCTGATAGTATAAAAACTGATAAACTGTCCAGATTCGAACAAATATGGCATAATAGACAGAGGTTGACCGATGAAATAGTGCTAGTATCTGCTAGAGTATTCATATATTAGGGTTATGCGGAAGATGGAAGATGCAGAGATGTAGAACAGGGTTATGATACACGTTCTTTTATCGGCTAACGCGTCCAAGAGAGCTGCCGCGTGAACTGTCCAATTCGTTCTAGGATCATCGAATTCTGCAGCTGGGAGTGCGACAGAAGCGTCATGTAAGTCGATGGAATGGAAGTGGTGAACATCCAACCTTAATGTCTTTTTGTTTTGTTAAAGCGAGCCAACAAACCAGCAATTCCAATGGATTAAGCGGGACCATTTCAGCATCTACAGTAATAGGTATGCATGTGGCA